CGTTTGCCGTCCAGTACACGTCCCAGCACGCCGCAGGTATTGCTCGTCGTCACCAAGCGGCCGCAAGGTCCGAGATCTGCCCACGCAACAAAACACTTTGGGTCTCACGGGAATCCATCCAAGTGCTAGACACAGAGAAAACAGCATTGAAATTACTAGATAAGGAGGAGATGTAAATTAATCCTCATCAGTGCAACCTCACGGCAATGAAGAGAAGAGGGAGTTAAGAGAAAGCAGAAAAGAGAAGCAGAAAGAAGAAGAGAAAAAAACGAAGAAAGGGAAACAGAGAGAAGAAAAGAAAAGAAGAAGAAAAGAAGAAGAAAAAGAGAAGAAAAAGAAGAAAAAAAGTACGAAGTAAAAAAAGAAGAAAAAGAAACTCCTTCAACTGCGGCATTTGAAGAAAGAAAAAGAAGAAGATAAGGCAGAAGAAGATGAAGGCACAAGAGCAATGTAAATCATGAATTGCCCTCAACGAAAGTGATACACTGGAACGTTGTGGATTTTAAACTGAGTGTCATTCGTACTATTTCCGTTTACTTTCAGTTGTGCTTTTTTTTCACACCAGGAGAACTATTACTTTAAGTAAGGAAATAAAGCTGAACTGAATAAACTTAAGTCAGCGAATGTATTTATAAATCTTTCGCGTACACAACGTTACAGTGAAATGTGAAACTGTGTCTTCATCAGTTTACTCCAAACGGAAAAAACCACATACAAGCGTTCACAACGTCTGCAGTGACAAGTGTGGTTTTGTGATCAGTTCGAGACGGACGTTGAGATCGGTTGATGATCGGGACTGTGAGCTGCAATGAGCCTGTTAGTTGATAGGGGCAAGAAGTGAGCATGAGGAGGTGGGGATCCACTTTTATAACTGCAAACACGTTAGTGTTGTTTGAATTACACTTCAATAAATTGTGTGACGTATAAAACTGTGTAATATAATAATATAATAATATAATAATAATTAAAATAATATAATAATAATAATAATAATACATAACATAATATCTTTATTAATGGCAGGACTCAGGCCATAGGGCCTGCTCTTCCGCGCTAACCACCTGAGTTTAACTACATATAGCAGTAGTACATTTTAGGGAGAGACAAGCTGTTAATTACGTCTGGGTCATCAATGTTGAGTCAAATGTCGTTCTCGTCTTTTGTATGTTGGTTGAAGGAGATCAGGTGAGTAAGCTTTTCCGAGGGCCACGCTGGTTGTGCTCGACGTGCAGCGTAGTGGCGTTGGCGGGCAGCCCGGGCGCAGCTGGTGCAAGCCGCGCCCGCGCCAGTCCACCGTCACCATGGGTCGGACACACGTCGCGCCGCCGGGCCGCTGCGCGTCTGCAGGTCGGGCACCACGTACTCAGCGAGCAGCGCCAGTTGGCCTCGCGCGGCACTCGGCCTCCATCGCCTGCGCACGCGCACAAAGCCGCGCCGCACCACCGCGCTCAGTTCCTCGCTCTCGCTCCTCTCTTCGTCTCTTCTCTCACTCGCTCTCTCTCTCTCTCACACACCACTCTCTCTCACTCTCACACACTCTCTCTCGCTCTCAACACTCTCTCTCGCTCTTCACACACTCTCTCTTCGCTCTCACACACTCTCTCTCGCTCTCACACTCTCTCGCTCTCACACACTCGTCTCTCGCCTCTCACACACTCTTCTCTCGCTTCACACCACTCTCTCTCGCTCTCAACACACACTCTTCGCTCTCACACACACCTCTCGCTTCTCACACACTCTCTCGCCTACACACCTTCTCGCTCCACCACACTCTCTCGCTCTCACACACTCTCTCGCTCTCTCACACTCTCTCGCTCGCTCACACTCTTCTCGCTCTCACACTCTCTCGCTCTCACACTCTCTCGCTCTCACACTCTCTCGCTCTCACACTCTCTCGCTCTCCACACTCTCACCTTGATCGCTCTCACACTCTCCCACGTCTCCACTCTCTCTTACAGGTCTCTCTTCATTCTCTCCTCTCTCTCTCTCTCTCTCTTCGCTCGTCCCACGTCCTGATCGCAACGCGTGCTCTTTTCAATTAGTCGTCCGATCACACCGAACCTACCGTCCCCTTTCGCCCCGGATCACTAAATAGGCTCATTGCAGTTGTCGATTACCCGATCCACTTCTCCAGACTCTATTACTTACGCGTGCTATTGCACGTTCCCGATTCACTACTGACTCTCACCACCCGATCTATCCAGATACTAAACACGCACATTGCACTCTTATCTCCCGATCCTCAACGTCTCGCCTCAGCACCGTCTCACCGTCCCGATCCCCCACCGACCTCATCATACACGCCAGATCAACTACACCGCACATTGCCTCTCCAATTGATCCCGATCCTCACCGACCCAGTCATCGCCGTCTGGCCCCCATCCACTACATAGGCTCATTAGCACTATCAACGTCCCGATCCCCACCAACCTCAAATCCCGTCCCGTTCGGCCCGATTTCTTTCATATGCTCAGTGTAGTCTCCACCGATTCCTCACGTCCCGTCTCCCGAACCGTCACTAACCACACTCACGGTGATCCCTTATTGCCGTCTCGTCGACCACATATATACTCATTGCACTTAACCGCGCCGATCACCCGATCACTACTCCACGACGCTCACTGTACCCTTGCCGGCCATCTTGAACACAACACGTCCATTTATGTACCCTTACCGCTATCGATCACCAACGATCGTTCCGCTCCCGTCTCCATCAGCTACACACATCATTCGCATTCGTACCGTTCCGATTCTCCCCTGACCCGCATCATTCCAGCCATCGTCCGGACCTTATACGTGCTCACTGCACTTTTCCTGTCCAAACACACGCCATCCACGTACTCTTAAACCTATCCGTCTTGTCCAGATACGTACCAACTATTCACTGCACGCTCACCATCTCGTCCCGTCCCGATTCACTATACAGGCTTCATGGTGCGTGCCTTCACAGCGCCCATCACCAACATCACATGAACGCCGGTCCCTCTCCATTTCTACACATGTCATTGTATTATCACCTGCATACCGTGCGACGATCATAATACATCGTCCCGATTTCCCTCAATGGTTAACCTGTGCCCTACCGTCGCGTCCGACATCACTTGCTCTTCATTTGACTCTCCCACGTCCCACTCGATGCAGCATGACTTCGCTCCACATCATTACTAGTGCTCTCCGCCTTGCTTCGATTATTAACATTGCCTCAATCTGCTACACGCTCAGCTGAATCAATTATTTCTCCCAACACTTTAATGTATCCCTCTCATACCTCTATTACTTCTTCGTGTTATGGGGTTGTATTCCCTTCCTGCGGCTGGACTGGGCTACCTCCTTCCGCCCCATCATCCGCACCAATTGTATCTTTTCTAAGCACCATACTTCTTAGCGGAGGGTAGGTGCGTGGGGGTGCAACGGAACTGGCGCGGCGCCGTTCAAGTGTAAAGCGTGTTTTTACACTGTCATTTTTTCATCTTTTTTGATCCAATAGAGAAAAATGACGGATAGGCGGATGTAAATCTGTACAGAAAAAATGGGGCGGACTTAATCTCGAGTGTCGATGGGGAGGATTTTCGACACTAGTACACAAGTTTGTGTTCAGTTCGTTGTCTGCGTGGAAACTTCTAGCCGGCCCAGCTGTGGCTTCGGTAGTTTTTCCGAATCAACTTCATGGTGAATGCGGTAAGTAGTAGTACCCTAACAAACGGGCCACGACCCTGCACACGGTCTTTCCTTCCCCTTCCCTGTTCCTATAAACTCACCCTTTATTTACACACACACACAACAAC